GCTTGATATCATCAATGCTGAAGTTTGAAACCCCAAATTCCGAAGAACGTCTATAAGGACAAGAGAGTTGATGATTGTCCCGGGAATTTCTGTCCTGAAAACCGAGGCAGATTTCACTATGAGGACATTGAAGGAACTCGCACGCATATATTTTATGATCCATCAGGACGTTCAGTTCATTGCCAGGCTTCCTCTTCCGGGTGAAGTCCAAGTCAGTTATGAATTCATCCTTAATTGTATGAGATTGTTGTTGAACAGGAAGTCTATCATTGTGTCTCTCTGTCCCAATATTGAACAAACCGAGGTGGTTTGGGTTCGGCTTTTGCTCTTGGACATCAAAGTTGGACTCATCATCGGCCCCTTCAACATCATATTCACTGGTATCATTGACGGCAAAGGTTCCGCTCCCACCTGACGATGACAATGGTGGACAGAGATCAGGATAAAGTTCTCGAGCTAATGTCTCCTCCTGGTTGACAATAGCGAGCCAAGTTGCACTCTCCTTTGCTGTCATCTTGTCCTGCAAGCACTTTGACTGCCTAACAAGCTTGCGAATCTTGGCAATATCAGGAGACATGTGCTTGATCACTGCTGTTAGAACACCCACCTTCCATGCCTTTTTGAGATCATGAGGCTTCTTATAAGGTGGAGAGCCTTGATTCTTTGGCAGACCTAACTGATGCCACCATTCCTCATTCCCAGTGGGCCACCAAGGAGGTGAAACACCTTTCTCTAAAGGAAACCGTCTCTGAGGAGGATCACAGTGCTGCATCAGAGCTGACAACAGTGAACCAAGGGTAGTATCTTGGAGCTCCTGCAGGGTGTGGGGGGTAGGACCAACTGGATTACCTCCCTCATTCTTTCCCGGGATTAAATTATCTGCTTGGTATTTCGCTATGGCAGCTGGTCCATTTCGATCAAATCTCACCTTATCCTTCCACCATTCCCTCAGGTTGTCGGATGCCCCACTCACTGGCTTACCTTTCTCCAGAATGATTCCATAAACAAAACCTTGGGCTTTGCATACTTCCATCATTTTCAACATGTATTTCAAGATCCCATCTTGCGCCCTTGACATCTTCTTTCTCCTTGCCTGCTCTTGAGATTGCTGTTGTTTAGCAGCATCATCGCCTTCTTTACCCTTACTCATTTCTTTCAGTCTTTTAAGTCGCATCTTATCCCTCCACATCCTCCTCTCAAGTTCATCCACATCAATCTCATCATCCGTGTAATCATCCTCCACTACGGGCTCTGGCTCGGTCGTTTGAGAGCCACAAACATCGACTTCCTTGATAGGAGCAGAGGAAAAGAAATCAAAATCACCACAAAACGCCATATCTTCAAGCATCATCATTTTTTATCACCCCAAAGTTGCACCAAACTTGCAAAAATCAAAGTGCTCAAAACTGGGTTTGATTCGAATCTTCAAAAAATTGAATTTATGCTGTTTTCTTCAGACGAAACTCGAGATTTAACAATGGATAGTAACTTAAACACCACAGTATCCCCACCTGTAAAAATATATAAAAGGGAATGAAGAAAATCTCAACTAGTATTACCTAATCTAGTAAAACGGAGAGAACTTTTAATCATAATTATCTTCTATTGAAAATAAAGATTTTTATATATTCAACTAATTCAATGCTATACAACAAAAATTATCACGGGAACTATATGAACCTCAATTGAAAGGTAAAGAAAAAAGAACTCATCACATAAAAGCAAATACGTGATGACATCTATGATCATAAAAGCTATCTAAAGGGGAAAGGAAAAGCAAAAATCTTTACAGATAACAGTTTCAACAAACTTAAGTCCATGGAAATTTAGCACCAGATTTCCAGAAATTAAGTAGAAAAAGATTTCAAATCACCAGGAAAAAATTGATTCAAACTAATATAATTTTTACAGATCTAAAATCATCATACATAGTACTTTGTAGCATTTATACATCCAACTGCTCAACGCGTCA